GAACTGCACCGCGGCCGTCGGGGGTCTGGTGGTGAGCGCGCAGGGCTTGGGCGTGGGCGTCTTCCTGGCCGCCTTCATCCTCACCGCAGTGGCAGGCAACCTGCTTGTCATCCTGTCAGTGGCCTGCAACCGCCACCTGCAGACGGTCACCAACTACTTTATTGTCAACCTGGCCGTGGCCGACCTGCTGCTGAGTGCCACGGTGCTGCCCTTCTCTGCCACCATGGAGGTCCTGGGCTTCTGGGCCTTTGGGCGGGCCTTCTGCGACGTGTGGGCCGCGGTGGACGTGCTGTGCTGCACCGCCTCCATCCTCAGCCTCTGCACCATCTCCGTGGACCGGTACGTGGGTGTACGCCACTCGCTCAAGTACCCCGCCATCATGACGGAACGCAAGGCGGCCGCCATCCTTGCACTGCTCTGGGTAGTAGCCCTTGTGGTATCCGTTGGGCCGCTGCTGGGCTGGAAGGAGCCAGTGCCTCCCGACGAGCGCTTCTGCGGCATCACCGAGGAGGCAGGTTACGCCGTCTTCTCCTCCGTGTGCTCCTTCTACCTGCCCATGGCGGTCATCGTAGTTATGTACTGCCGCGTGTACCTAGTCGCGCGCAGCACCACGCGCAGCCTCGAGGCAGGCGTCAAGCGCGAGCGGGGCAAAGCCTCGGAGGTGGTGCTACGCATCCACTGTCGAGGTGCGGGCACAGGCACCGACGGGGCGCACGAGGCGCGCACCGCCAAGGGCCACAACTTCCGCAGTTCGCTCTCTGTGCGCCTGCTCAAATTCTCCCGCGAGAAGAAGGCGGCCAAGACCCTGGCCATCGTCGTGGGCGTCTTCGTGCTCTGCTGGTTCCCCTTTTTCTTCGTCCTGCCGCTTGGTGAGTGAGCCCCTACCCACTAGCCCCTTCCCGACTTCCTTGAGCCTATCTTCCTCACCCTCCTTCAACTTGGGTGAGCCTTGACTCTCCATGGAAGGTTGATTTAGTAACTTCGCTATTCTCTTAAGAAGCAGGGCTCTTCATGCTTGTGAGTTTCATTTCGCAGGCTTCTAACTTTCCCGGCCTGCTCTGTTTCGTTGCTATTACAAGCCTTGGGCCTGTTTTAACCTACTGACCCCTCTAAATATCAAAGGTCCTTGGAAAGCTGTGGGTTCTGCCCACAGTGTGTGGTCAGTTTGTACGTGCCCCCCTATATACATTCATACCCCCTGCCCTGTCCAGGGCAGACCCAGAAGTGAGGGCACAGAGTGGACGGGCCTACCGTGTATGTATGTATTCACCAAGCCCTTGCCAACCAGCATGTACAGCCGCAGACACCAGAAGCCACCTGCTTTCCCCCAGCGTACATTCTGTTTGGAAGCTGGCCTCATTCCTCTACCCTTCCCACTGGTTTTTGTGAATACCCTTAGATTTCATTTCTGAAATCTCTCTTTGGAGATGGGGGCCGCTGGGGATTAAAAGGAAAAGAGTGGGGCAATTTATCAAATCAAAAGCTAATGTAGTTAATCACCATTTCTTACATTGCCTGAGTCCTTTAGTTCTTAGGGGGAACGTTCCTATTTCTTCCACAAGCTGCCTTGTAGTCCTGGAGCCAGGTAGCTTTTCTCAGGGGCTTCTGCCTACCCTTTGAAGCCCCTCTTGGGAGATGTAAGGCTGGGCCAGTACAGTGAGAAGGGAAAACGGCATCTGTGCGACACGTTGGCATCCCCAGAGTTCCCTGAATCAGTTGGCCATGGCTGCAACCTCAGCCAGCCCAAGCTAGGACCTCCCTTGCTGACCCACAGGCCTAACGTCTTCCCTGCACAGCTGCAGCTGCGTCAGGAAGGAGACAATGGCCTTTCTCCTGCTCCCCTGCAGGCCCTCTCCACACAGCAGCCAGAGTGACCTTTATACATTATAAATGAGATGGTGTCACTCCCTTACAGAAACCCCTCAGTGCCTTTCCACCACCATGGGAACAAAACCCAAACTGTCTACCATGGCCTCTGAGATGGTGACGTTCAAATGTATTGTTCAAACCAAAATAAGTTGCTAGGAATCTTTGTGCCGGGACCACAGGCATGAACCAGGACTGTGAGGGCAAACTCGGACAAGTGGTTGGAAGGCCCTAGGTGGTGGCTGCCTCCTCCCTGCCCTCATAGCTTGGCTGTGCTCCTCCTTACTCACTGCAAACTCCATACCCACTGACCCTCCTCGAGTTCCTGACCTGTGCCCAGCTCATGCCTGTCTCTGGGCCTTAGCACTTGCTGTTCCCTCTATCTGGACTGCCATCCCATCTAGCTGTTCTCCTGACTAAGTCCCCATCTTGTAGGTCTTGGCTTAAATGTTCCTTCTTCAGAGAGGCCTTCCCAGAGCCCTCGGTCTTGACTATGTCTTTCTCCGTATTCTCCCTGAGGCACAATGCACTCTTCCTTCACTGGATCAGTAGTCGTAATGACATCTGTGTGTGTTGACTGGTTTTATGTCTGACTTCCCCGACTGGTCCTCAAGATCTGTGAAGGCAGGGCTGTGTCCGCTGTGTCACCATGGAATCACTGAATCCCCAGTGCCCAGCACAGTGCCTACTAAGCAGTAGGGACCACAGCTTAGGGTCAAAGCTAGCCAGACAGCCTAGGTTCAAATCCCAGCTCTGCCTTTTACTAGCTGAGTGACTTCGAACAAGTCACTTAACCTCTCTGTGCCTGTTTCCTTGTCGGTGAAATAGGAATGGTGGTAATGATAGTGATACCTGTCTATAGGGCTGTTGTGAGAATTCAGTGAGTTGTTATTGTTAGCTGCCATCCAGTTGGCCCCCAGCTCATGGCAACCCCATATACAACAAAAGAAAACATTGCCCGGTCCTGTGCCTGCACCTTCCTGTGGTCGGTTGTGGACTGCGCTGTTGTGATCCGTAGGGTTTTCATTAGCTGATTTTAGGAAGTAGATCACCAGGCCTTTCTTCCTATTCCATCTTAGTCTGGAAGCTCTGCTGAACTTATAGCACATACAAGCCTCCCCTGACAGAGAGGTGGATGGTAACTGAACCTCAAGTGCATTGGTTGGGAATCGAACCCAAGCCTCCCCCATGGAAGGTGAACGTACTACCACCATGCTACCAATGCCCCCATTTAATGAGTTGCTGTGTGTGAGTGTAACTGGTGCACATAGTGAGTGCAGCATGAGTTATTTTCATTGTTGATACTCACTACAGAGTAAGGAATGAATACATCACCAATTTGGAAATCATCCACTGACGTAATGGGGTGAGGTGGAGCAAGGGTAGACTCTAGGCAACATACTTGAGGGGACAAACAGGCATGAAAGAGAAAGTTGGCTTTCCCTCTCTTTAGAAACCACCCCAACCAGAATTTAGAACACCCTCAGCTCAGCTTCCTTCCCCTGCCCCCAGTCCCTGCTCTGGCCCTGCCCAGCTATTCCTAGGTCCAGGCTCCCTCCTGCTCCCCCTGCCCCTTGGCTCATGTTGGTCCCCTGTAGGGAGTGATTCACCAGTATAGAGAATGCCACCTTCCTTTTATTCCTCTTCTCTTTAACATTCTAGTTGCAGAAACTGCACATATAAACCAAACCAAACCAAACCCATTGCCATCAAGTCAGTTCCAACTCATAGTGGTCCTGTAGACAGAGTAGAACTGCCTCATAGTGTATCCAAGGGTGTAAATCTTTACAGAGATGCCTTTCTCCTATGGAGTGGCTCATGGCTTTGAATTGCTGGGCTTTCGGTCAGCAGTCAAGCACTTAACCACTGTGCCACCAGGGCTTTTTAATGCACAGATAAACCTGGGGGAAAAAAAAAAAAAAACAGACCCACTGCCAATGAGTCAATTCCGACTCATAGTGACCCCCATTGGGTTTCCGGTGGTAAATCTTTGTGAAGCAGATTGCCCCATCTTCCTTCCACAGAGCTACTGGTGGGCTTAAACCACCAACCTTCTGATTACTTAAAAAAAAACCCAACTCATTGCTCTTGAGTCAGATCCAACTCATAGCAACCCCTCCTTGGGCTTCTGAGGTAGTATCATTGTGGAAGTAGATTGCTCAGCCTTCCTTCCGAGGAGTGGCTGGTGGGTTTGAACAGCCAGCCTTCTGGTTATAGCAGTCAAATAAATGCCTTAGGCACTGCACCACCAGAGCTTAGATAAGACGCTGATTTACCAAGCACCCATGTCCCTGGAATCACACGCAGTGAACAGACGTTCATATTTTGCCACATTGCCTCAGATCTCTTTCTCTGTCTTCTTTCAAAGAGGTAGAGCACAGCCATAGCTAAATTCCCTCTTCTGTCGCTTCCATTAGCTCTCTGGTGGCATAGTGAGTTGTTAAAGCATTCAGCTGCTAACCAAAAGGTCGGTGGTTTGAACTCATTAGCTACTCCATGGGAGAAAGATGAGGCAGTCTGCTTCTGTAAAGATCGATAGCCTTGGAAACCCATTGGGCAGTTCTATTCTGTCCTAAAGGGTCACTATGAGTCAGAATGGAGTCAGTGGCAGTGAGTGGGTTCCTTCCTCTTCTCTCCCTCCTTCCCCAGAGGTGCCTCTGGTGTATACCACGTGTTTCCACTGTTGTTACCAGAAATGTCTGTCTGTAACAATGTATAGTATTGTTCCTTCCATCTTTAGAATTTATACAAAGGGCACCACACTTTGTATTTCATCTTCAATTTGCCTTTCCCCACCCCCAACATTATGCAGTTGAGATTGATTCATGCTGGTTCACTTTAGCAGCAGTATAGAAGCTCTGGTAGCATAGTGGCTAAAGCACTTGACTGCTAACCAGAAGGCTGGCGGTTCAAACCCAGCAGCCACTCCTCGGAAGGAAGGTTGGGCAATCCTACTTTCATAGTGATACTGCCTCGGAAACCCAAGGAGGGGTCGCTATGAGTTGGGGCCGACTCGACGGCACATAACAACAACAACAACATAGTATTCCAATTAAGAGTTACTCCACGTATGAGGATCCAACCGCTGCCTGAGTGTAGGTTTTTCAGTTTTCCTATTACAGTTGGCACTTGCATGACGCTCCTGTTTTTTGAGGCCAGATCATATGTCCCTCTCTTCCGGGAAGTCATCCCTGAATCCCTTGGCCCTTTGCCCCTTGCTAACGCACACTGCTTTCTCAGTTCCACCATCTCTGAAGATCCTGACACCCAGCATGGGGACTCCGAGGGTGGTGTCCTTGTTTCCTCCCTCCTGCTGGTCTGTGATGTGCCACATCTCCCAGGGCACCTCACGGATCCTGGAGCGGAACCCAGGGGTGCTGATGGAGCTGAATTGAGTGGAATCTGACAATAATGAGAAAGCTGGACAGAGGCCAAGTAAGGGAACAGAATATCCCGATCTGCCGATCTGCTGTGTTGTGGCTTGGAGAGCAGGAGCAGCGGGGAGAATGGGAGGGGAGGGCCTGCTGTAGGGGCAGGTTGGCCTGCAGACTGTCAGGAGGGAGAGGAGCCAAGGGTTCCTGACACCTCCAGCACTGCGCCAGCCCTGGGAGGAAGGAGGTACCCTTGAAGGAACAGGGAGCATTCTGAGCAGCAAATTTGGGGGGCATGTGGAATCCAAGGCATTGGTAGGTATTGGTGTGGAGATGCCAGATACGTGGTGGGGATGTTGGGAACTTGGGTGAGGGGCCAAGTCAGGAGCATGGGGTGGGGTCTCCCTGAAAGAGGTAAGGAAGAAGAGAATAGAGGGGCTAATGATAGAGCCCTGGGGGGGGGGCACTCACTTTGAAGGAACTAGGAGGAAACAGCCAGGAGCCAGACAGCTATCTACTCAGGTGGCACCTCCCTTCTCTCGGGCTCTGGTCACTCCTAAGAGCTTAAGAGACAGAGAGGGACTGCATGCCAGCAAGGGCCAAATCCATGGGAGTAAAGGCAACCAGTTGGG